ATACATACATACATACATACATACATACATACATACATACATACATATATATATATTTTTTTTAAATTAATTAATTAATTTATTTATGTTGTTTCACGTGCCTTAACAAGTTCGACGTGTTGCTGCTGCAGATCCACTCTTCGTGAAACAATGTCGACACACAGATTTGGATTTGTTCACTTGTCTTTTAACAAGAAAGCCATAATGTTCCCAAACATGAGACCACAACGAGATGCTAGGCTGCTACTGCTACTCGTGCTGCAAGATTCTGCAGCAATTAATAGCACCGTGCTAAAACACACTTAGGAACTTTAGTTCCGCGGCGCATAATCTCTCGCTCATAAAATGTAATGAATGAAAAAATAACCGAAACGGTACGCACGTGGACCGAACATACAAGGACACAAGGATTTTTATTGTCATTCACATCACATGTGATACATGAGGTGGAACAAAACTATGTACACGGGGTTCCAGTTACATCCAACAAAAATACAAATTGTAAAGAAAAACATTTGTAAGATCAGAGTCATGAACTAAGAATATACTTTGCACTACATTCACTAAACCAGTCCTTCTCAAATGGGGGGAATGCCAGGGGGGTCGCATGTGACCCAGGGAACATGCTTTTTTTGCCGCAGGGAGTAGAGTTTTTTTATTTATTTATTTATTTATTTTTTTACCATTGTCATTGTGTCTCGTGTGTTCCAGCAGCTGTTTGCTCGTATCTCTCAGATTTACTATAAATTCATGAAAAAATAACTGTCTTTTCGTTTTGGGAGCCATGCATAAACCATGTCGCTCCCCTCTGTGGGTGAGACATAAACTCCGAAACCTCCGCCGCATGTGTTTTATGTCCATGCTAGGGCTGGGTAGCTTTCTAAAAAAAACTGGTATCGGTACCGGTGTCGGTGCCTTCACTTTGGTGTCGGTTCCTGGACGGTTCTTTTATCGGTGCCAATTTTGTAATTACTATTAATTCTAACAAGAATAAAATTACGTTGCACATTACAGTACAAATCGTGAGTTTTATTTTTTAACTTTGGTATATTTCTATTCCAAGCAGTTTCCATACATAAAAATAAATAAATAATTTCAAGTCAAAAGAACAGTTTCAAACCAGTGACACGTCTGTGTCTAATGTTCACTGCTACACACTAAGGACCTTTTCACTTAACAGTTTTTCTTCAAAAAAATCAACATGTCTGCTTTCTCTGGACACAAACAAGCCTGCTCCTGGCTGATGGTGTCTCCAGCAGTAGAACATGATCACTCTGAGGGTGTGAATGATGCTTGTTGCACACACAGATACCTGGCTGTCAAGTTTGATAGCACTGACATATTGTCCCTCACATTCCACCAGCAGGTCACTGGATTCACTGAGGTTAGGGTTGATGCAGACTAGAGGATGACACAGGAGTAGATTTTCACTCCTGTCCTGTCCTGGTCCAACAGAAAAAAATCCTGTCCTGTCCCAATCCTGGTCCAGAGTAAAAAAATTAATCCTGTCCTGTCCTGCTCCTGGTAACATGACTCCTGCTCCTGTCCTGCTCCTGGTCAGAATCACTCCCACTCCTGTCCTGCTCCTGTTTTTTTTTCCTCTTCATTTAATTTTTAAGAAATGCATTGAATTTGAATTGATTTTCTAACCATTCCTTTTTAAATTACTTTGTGTTCTGCAGTTTGATTTCAAAAGATATGACAGGAAGAGTTAATCTGTGGTGAAATATGGAGGCATTTATTGCCTTAATTCAAACAAAAACCTTCACTAAAGGTCACAAAACAAATCCATGGCCTGTAGTCCTTATAGTTTTTCTACAGAGGATCAGCTGCTGAGTCCCTGTTTCTGGCTTTTTTGAAGGTCAGTTACAGTAAAAACAAAAAATGAAAACCAGTACATGGGTCACACCATGTCTACCTTAGATGAAAGAACCCAAACAGAACAAATAGAAGTTGCTTTTTACTAATTTATTGAGCAATTGTTTCCTTCCCTTTAGACAGTAACGTTCCTGTCATGGTTTAAATTGCTTAAATAAAAAACTAAACAAAAAAATTGCACCAAACAAACTGTCATCAATGAACAAAACTGCATAAAGGCATTACATTCATATTGTACCTGAGTTTTTGAAAAAGGAAAAAAAATGTGCATATAATGCAAATACTAAATAAAAATACAACTGCCATATATATATGGTGGTTGACTGGTGCAAATGTGCTGCAAACAACTACACACACAGCAATACTACAGTGGTCAGCAGGTGCAAACTGCTAACATGCTGCAAACAGTCAGCTACTGCACACACAGCTAACAGTTAAAAAGCATTGCAAACGCATAAATGATGCAAACTCTAAAACAACAACAAAAACAAAACAAATGCAACAGAAAAATGCAGCGAAAGAAAAAAACCTGCAATTACAGAAAATAAAACATACAACCCAAAAAACGAATGCAAAGGAAAATGCTGAAAAGTACTCTACTCAGTGCACATTAAACTCATAAAATAAGCCAACTTTGGGCCAGTTGCCACTCAGCTGTAATGTATTTGCAGGGTTCTGTTGACCAGACCAGCAGTTGTTTTGGTGTTATTTGTATTTGAAGCATTTTTCCTTTGCATTTTTTTTTTGATTGTGTGTCATCTATTTTGTGTGACTGCAGATTTTTTTTTCTGTTGCATTTGTTTTTTTGTTTTGGAATTTGATTCATTCCTGTGTTTGCAGCACGTTTTAACTGTTTGCTGTGTGTCTGTCAGCCACCGTGCATATCAGTCTACTTTTCCACTCTTCAGCACATATGAATAGTTGTCATTATAAATTGCTATGTAGGAACAAAAGTTCATCTACATTTTCTGGATTGAGGGTGGAACGCCTCTCCTCAATCAGTCTCCCAGCAACACTGAAACTACGCTCAGAAGGAGTGCTTGTTGCTGGGATTGCTAGCAGCCTCCTGGCAACTGGCACTAGCCCATCAGACCTCTCATGCCAGAAGTTGAGCAGAGACTGGAAGCCTGTCAACTTAGAGTCACTCATGTACTCTACCACAAACTGGCGGCCCCATGACTCTGAAATACCACCACTGTCCCCCTCCTGTTGCTGCTTTTCAACACAAAAGGAAAAGAAGTCGTGCACCTCTGTGGGACTGGGAACTGCCTCTCGGGGTGGACCTTTGGAGAGAAAAAAAAAAAGAGATTCTTATAGAACATTACCTGTATTGGACATTACCTATTAGATTATACAGACGTGTGTGTGAATGAATGCCTCTAAATAAATGATAGGAAGAAATGTTGTTATTACATTTTAGAATTGCTGTGAGTGCTCTGTTGATGCTAGTTTTACTCACCCTGTTTCTTCTCAAGGCTTCTCGCTCTCTCCTCTGTCCCTGCTGTTTCTGTGAGTGCTGCCAGGGTGTTGATGACCTCCTCATACTCCTGACCGGAGAGCGTTTTCCTCAAGAAACTCCTCAGGCTAGGAGAGAGAGCTGTGGCTAGCTTATGGTACAGGTGGATTTTGAATTTCAACTCCACTGCCTGGGCCAACTTCTCTTTCAGCTAGAGGAGGAGTGAAACCACATGATGACACATGCAATGATATGATAATGATGTATGCAACATCATTATTACGGGACATAAAAAATTCTCAAGCGGACAGGCACTGTGCTTTATTATAGGCGTGGAGGAGTTTTAAATTTATTTCAAATTTAACTTGTACAATGTTTCTTTTGGAAAACATCAGACTCAGTTCTGTTCTTGCCTTTATCACTGTTACTGAATAGGGCCAAACTCCTGTTAGCTACTTGAATGATCAAACTAAACAATAAAAATAAACAAAGTATTAAATTACCTCTTTCACAATTGCACTATCTCCATCCTGGATCAACAAACCCTGCAGCAGGGTTGCCTTGGTTGGGAGGACGAGGTGAAGAGTAGGTGCCTGATCGATGGAGAGGTGCCTGGTAGCCTCATCAAAAGGTTTCAGGAGCTGGATGACGTCCTCAAGAAGGTCACAGTCTATGTTGTTGAGGTAACGGAGCTCGCTTCTGCGAAGCAGGATGTCGTGCAGCTTACCAGACTTGAGAGCATCATTTATTGACTGGAGCATGGCAAGTCTGGTGTTCCACCTCGTCTCCACAGCTTCAGTGACTGGTCCAGTGCTTTTTGTAACCTAAAATTGAAAGAAGACCGTGCACAAGTCAAAATAGGGTTACAGGGACTATAAAAATTGCAATTTATTGGCCTTTCTTTTGGAAAAAATATTTTATTAAAAAGAAGAGCTTTACAACTGAAACTAAGTCAAGAAAATGTGACCTTTGCAGTTATAAATTACAGTACCTCAATTTTTCTTTATTTATTTCACTTATCATATTTTCTGATTATTTAAGCAGCCTCACCAGGCAGAGATTACAAGATTTTATGTATCTTACCCTGCCCTTTTGAAATGTGTGACCAGGGTCTTTGCGTCCTTAAACAGCTTGATGACGCTGCTGTGTACTGGGTTGTCCTCATCCAAGTGGTCAAATACGTGTTTTAAGATCAAGTTGATATTATGGCCGGCACAGGAGAGCCGCACATAATCCTTGAAAGCAGCTATCATGTTTGAGCCATTATCTGTCACAAACACAGTGTGCTTGCTCAGGATGCCAAATTCCTGTTGGGTAAAAAAACAAAACAAAGACAAACCAAAAACTTAGCTCATAAGAAGACCAGACATATGATAATCATTAAACAGATTGATCAACAGTCATGTAATTGTACGAAGCACTTTTCAATAAATTTATAGTACTACATTAGGACAAAACATATTACACATATTACACATGTGTTGTGTATCAAATGAAGGAAAACTCCATCTGCAATTAAGGTAAAATACTATGGTAATCTGCCTAAGTTGCTGCCTACCACGGCACAGACTGATGTACAGCGAAGGACCGTGACAAACGCTTACTGATGCACTTATTTATATTCCAGGTTAGTCTGCTCCTGCAACCTGGAACACCTTTCAGCAGGAACTTAAGTTGTCCACCTTAATTTATTGTGAGGGGTTTTAAACATTTCTTAATGTCAATAAAAATCTCAAAGCAAATATATTCTTGTTTTTAGTATTTTACATTTTTTATGGCACATTAATTTATTTTTTTAGACACTACTTTTATTTTAACTGTATTTTTACTGTAGTTTATCATTATTATTGTTCACTGTTATTGTTGTCTGTACTTTATATGTTCTGTCTGTCTGGATTGGAACAGGTCTCTTGAAAACGAGTCCTCGTGACTCAATGAGGTTAGCCTGTAAAGGTTGAATGAAAAATATATATATTTGTCTTTTCTATTGTTCCTTCTGTGACATGTTCTTGTTATTGCTGCACCATGTTCTCATACTTTTCCCAATTTTACGAATTAATTGGCAATATTTATTGCATATGGACTGTACTTATATAGCGCCTTTGTCTTATTTCAAGACACTCAAAGCGCTTTACACTACAATCTGTGCCTCATTTACCCATTCATACAGCTCTATACTAGACCTCTACAAAGCTAATATGCCATGTAAATAAAGATAATTATCTCATTTGAGTGTGAGATACCTGAAGGATTTTCTCCACAGTCCCTCTGATGTGTTCATTAGATTTGACACCCTCCATCTCCCTTGTGGCCAGAATACGGTTCACCATCTTCCCATCCAAGATGTAATGGACTGTAACGGTGATGTAGTGTGTGTTTGTCCTCTCCTCTGTCCAAAGGTCTGTCGTGATTGCATGGTCTCTAGTCTGCACCAAAGGAATTACGTATATTGTTATTAGCTCTCAAAGTATATTACATGTAAAACAGATGACTAATTTATAGTTGAGAGATTAAGCAGTTTAAAAGGAGGAGAAAAAACAGATTTAGTGTTAGGAAATCTATAATTAGACTACTGCATGATGTCAAGGTAAAATGTGTGTACTGTATTATAAAATAGAGCAGCGTGACAGACATACCTGATGGAGCTCTTCCATGACCATTTTTTTAATTTTATCATATTCTCCTTGAACATGACGGGAGACCGTGCGTCCACATGGCAGTATGTCTTGTGCCTCAGCGTTGTTTCCATACTTTGCTCCAATGTCGATTGCCTCCTGTATGACGTCGATGAAACCTTTCCCATCTACTGCAGCAAATGGTCTCAAATCTACGCCGCACATGCGGCCTATTTTGTTGGTCATACGTGACTTGACTCCCGACGGTACTTTTCGTTTAATGAATGAAGAAATGCTTGGCTGATTCGTTCCGAAATTAGCCTTGCATGTGTGTCTCTTCAGACCGCTCGTCTCCGAGTCAGTGGCGTACTTTATTATAACTGAGCATGTTTTGCAAGCAGCGTAGAGCGTCTTCACACCGTCACACTCGACTCTCATAAAGTTCTGAACTATTAGCGCCTTCCCTGACAGTTCTGTTAACCTAACAGATGCGTCATTATTCCTAACTTTGCGTTGCAAAATATTTTTTACCCTCTCGGTTTCTCCGCTGGCGTATGCTCCCTCCATGATGTTGGTTGATACAGTAAACAAAGGTTGGAAAAGGCGGCCGGAAGTAGCTGCTGGAAAAGGCGCCGGAAGCTGTTGGCGCAGCCGCCTGTCTGAAATTTATTATTATTATTATTTTTTGCCTATTTCTTTTTTTGTCCTATGTTGGCTCCCGCTCCCGTCTGCTCCCGTTAAGTTTTCGTCCTGTCCGGTCCCGATAACGGGAGTTATAATAAAGTTGACTCCGGTCCCGCCGGAATCCGGCCGGATTCACGTGACCGGCAGTACTCCCGAAAAAATGTCATCCTCTAATGCAGACATCTGCACCTCTGTGTCTCTTCCTGAATCTTCTCTGTGGTTTTCTGGAGTTTAGGGCTCTGATCATCTCCCTAATTGACATTAGAACACAAAACATCAACAATAACATGGTTGTGTTATTATTGCTCAAAAAACATAATCTAGGCTGAAAAATAAAATCTTAACTGGTCAAAAATATCCTTTAAAGTTTACTTACCTCCACCATGCAGCCTCCACTGTAGAAAAAGGAAGAAAACTTTTAACAACAAAGTTTGTGACTATCCTGTGGCCCCCACCTCACTTTTTTTTTGTCTGTCTCTGTCCTCACATCAGGGTCAGAACCTCCTATGAGAAGAACATTAACAAACAGTGAACATTAGCTGAACTTTTTAACCAGCTGAGCCGATGGATGAGCACATTTTTACAATCTAATCTTCATCTGTAACTGTCAATCTTTAGTTAGCTTCTAAGTTTAGCTAGCTATGTAGATAAAATAAATTTACACACTAATATCTTAAAGTTAGCGTTACATGGATTCTAGTTTAATTCACCGGGATGCACAAGCTGCAGTAACGTTAACAAACGTAAACTTACCAGTAGAAATACAGCCACAGCTCCGTCCTCCGAGTTCTTTGATGAAGAGGAGTCCGGCCATGGAATGTTGAATCAGGCTGTTCATACTCTCTCACACTCACAGACTGACTTTAATGCTGAGAGGAGGAGAGGAGGCTGCTGTCCTTCTCTCTCCTTGCAGAAAAACACATAGCAACTTTCTGCTTACAAGCAGAAGCGTGTGTTGTCGAAGCCGTTCGACAACACACGCGTTGCACACGTGAACCCCGTCTGTGGGCGTAACCAGCACCATAGACATACAAGCTATAGGGCAGCTCTATACAGCTCTGGGTGTAAACATGTAGTCTGTTTGTCATATGTCTGTGTTTTACCTGCCTGCATGCTGAAACCACGTGACATGTTACAGCCAATACCGAAACTTGACACCAAAAAAAGTGTGACGTTTCAATCCATACACCGACCGATGCAGTTCGGTCGGTGCTATAAAATAACCTCGGTTCGGTATACAGCCCTAGTCCATGTGCTCTGGATGTCACTCACAGCGCACATGCAAAAAAGAGTAAACTCAAGCGAGAGCGACACCTGCCCCCTCTTTTCTCTTTTGCTTTGACAAAATGTTTTAGTTTTATCAATAAGTTTCTCAAAGCAGAATTTACAGAAGTAATGTTTAATAAATGTTAGGACTCTATTCTTTGCTAACAAAATATATTCACCTCCTTAGTTAAGCTGCTGTTTTCATGACTCTCTGGATGCTTGTCACCCACAGCATGTAGGTGACAAAGAGTAAACTCAAAGTGAGAGTGACACCTGCTCCTCTTTCCTCTTTTGCAGTGATAAAATGTTTTAGTTTTTTCAATGAGTGTGCTCATTGATCCTCACTTCCTCATTTTGATTTTAAAAAATCAGTACAAATTGTTTTATTCGTTTTTATTTTTTTTTACATCAAAGTTTTTTATATAACACTCGAGTTAAAAATGTTGCTGATCAATTTGAATTTATTATTATTTATTGATTATATTTAATTTTATTTTTCAGTATCAAATGGTCAAAAATGTTTACAGTTCAAATAAGGATTTGCACTTTAATTAGTTTCTGTTACAGACTAAAAAGTTAAAAAAGTTATTCTTCATTGTAAGTTGATCTATATTATTATTTTTTTTAATTTAATGTTAATAAGGACACAGTGTTATGCAGAAGGGTACTTATAACAATTTTATAGAAAAATTATACTATTTAAAGTCGCAGCGGAGAGTTGGGGGCGCGCGAAATGTTTACGTCTTCCTGGGGGGGCATAACAGAAAATAATTGAGAAGCACTGCACTAAACTTAAGAATACACTTAAGCACTAATGGTACAAAACCAATGCGCCAAAACAACAGCAGCACGAACATGAGTCTGTATGAGCTGATGTAACAAAACGGTTCAATACACCCACATGTACCTTTACCCCACTATTATGTATATATGTATACGTAGAGAGAGGGAGGGAGGGAGAGAGATAAGGAATTATATTATAAAGTTACAGTTTTCAGTCACAGCATGCAACATACACCCCTATAACTGTAACTATACCCCTATTCTGAATTTCACACCTGTTGAGTAGGAATGTCCCAGTACTCAGTTTCTGTGATGTAGGGGAGGACACTACAAATATTTTTTCTTTGGCTTCACTTCAAATGATTTGCCATGAGTAGAACTAGAAAAATATTACTGTACTGTCAATCATCCGGAATATAAACATCAACAACAATCTGTTGCTCACCAGATAAGTACCGGTAGTTACAAATCATTATAAGGCAGTTGGTTTCTCTTCCACACACATGCACAGAGTAGTTTAATAAAATACACTTTATTTGGGTTAATTTTTCCTGTCTGTTCCCAGACTTCTTCTTAAGAAAACCACAATTCCCTCTCAGC